GTTAATTACTCTACAAACATACACCTTTGTTTACGTTTGTCTGTTGCTTGGCAACCACTTTGTTGCAACCACAACTGATTCTGAGGAACTACATTGTTTGGTGGAAGAATACTGATTTTATTAATATCATTACACTTTATTTGCTCTGTTTTATTTTGTGAAACCGTACTACGTATATGTAATAACCGTTTTATAAAAGCAATAAGCCCCGTGAAGCCGTGGTTTACAGTGAATTTATAACAGCTAAGGGGGCTAATAACGCCCCTTATCTGTTATAAATTCACTGTAAACCACGGCTTCTTCGGGCTCATTGCTTTATTTTAAAAACTAATTATACTTAATAATAATATATTACATTATATTATAATAATAAATGCAAGTTATTTTAGAGTATTTGGCACTGCTCATTCATTTAAATTAAAATGAAATATTTCATTTTGTATTGAATTCTAATGGTATTTAAATATTATAAAATTATATTTCAATAGCATAAAATGTAATTAATTCTTAAATTAAATTATATTTATAATATTATTTATTTTAGAATATTTGGCACTGTTTATTCATCCAAGTAGGTAAGAAACCATTTCAAATTACAGGATGACCACTGTTTACCACACAAGATGTGAACAATCATGAGCCTTGACCTCTTTCTGGGCTCCACGGGTAATGGAAAATCAGACACGGATTCTTTTGGACCTAATCCGATGCCTAGCATGGCGGCGATCTTTCCTGAGTTTGCAGCTGCCGCATTTACCACAATGGCACACTCCACGGGCTGATACTCCAGACTGTTGGGCATCCGCACCTAAAAATCACACCACATCTATCTGTTATGCTTTTAGTGCACTTGAACTTTAGAACACCTATGAAACAGTGCGTTGTACATCTGGTGTGTTCTGTTTTGAGAAGGCATATGAACATACATTAACATATTTTATCCTTTTGACATTAAGAACCTCTCCATCTGTGGTTTCTGCCAAATTTGTGGCACATTTAAATCCTAAAAATTCAAGAGAATCAACATGAGTTCTGTTTTGAAAGTAAGAACAATTAAAAAAGTACCAAATGTAGGACATTGTGTAATAATTTGACAAACTTTAACATATTGTAGTTGTTAATCCTGACCTGTGACCTCTCCAAAGCACTGACAGACTCCCATAGACACAGCCTTCCGTCTGAGAGCATTCAGGAGACACCAGGGGTCAAACCAGCCCTCGTTCTCTAGTCCTTAGTGAGGAATAAATATGTCACTCAGTAATGAACTTCAGATGTGAGATGTATCAAAGATTGTGAAAATGGTCACCAACCAAGAGAAGCCAGAGCGACCCCCTCCGTGTTCATCCAGGGGAATCCCTCCTTCAGCTGGGATGGTGACAGGAGGGCGACCTTCGCCCCTGCATATCTACAAATAAAATCATAAACATGTTTTATTGATCTTTAACTTTGTATTGCGAGTCTGTTTATCAGATAATATTAAAGGTTGACTTAACACAAAAACGTTTTAATATCCTGATAATACATACGCCTAATATAGTTGAAAGAAATTTGTATATAATCTGTGTCTGGTAAACCAACTTTTCCTGTTACCTTTGAGTTCTGTAGTTTTCCTCCATGATATGAGCTGATTTTTCGCTGGCGAAGAAGAGATATCCTGAATGATGAAACTGCAGATCAACGGGGTCTTCATTTACCACCCAGAGATGATTCTGAGGCATTACAACACGACAGAAATACACATTTGCAAACATTCATTAGTATTCTGAAACTCTAGACCAGCCCAATTGATCCTGAAGCACATTTAGCAACATTTACAACTAAATATTTAAAGTCTCCAGAAATGAGCTGATACTTAGACAATTTATGTGTTACAGTGCATTTGTAAAGGGAACAATATTTCAGGAAGCTTTTAATAGTGCAATATAAAAGATTTTACATTAATGTTCTTCATGAAGTGAGCTGAAAACAGTGACAGCAGGATGTTTTCTTTCAAGGAGAACTGCTGCCGAATTCCACCACATGACAGCACAGTCGACGCCTGGGAATACTGTAGAAAGAGGAACATAAAAATGTTTTTTAATTACCTTTTATTTATTAGCATTCAAATCTGTCAAAATGCACAAAACGTCAAAGCATTTTCCTGTCATACCTGCATCACACAATGCACAACCTCTGATTAATGAATCTTAAAATTGTCACCAAAAGCATATTATTTATATATTATTTACATTACATACATTATATATTTGCACAATGCTTTTATTTGGTGTAATGATTTTTATATATATATATATATAGAGAGAGAGAGATAGACAGATAGATAGATAGATATAAATAATTAGTTAATATATAATTTAGTTACACATTAATTATATTGTTATATATTTGTGCAATGCTTTATTTGGTGTCATGATTTTAATATATTAACGATTAAATGGATAGTTCACCAAAAAAAAAAAAAAAGATCATTTACTCTCCCTCAAGTCTTCTGAAACCTGTATGACTAACTTTCATGGAACACAAAAGAAGAAGTCATGTTTAATTAAAAAATGTAAGAAAATAATGAGTCTTTTTGCAGAGTGGATGTGATTGTTCACAGGGAAGCAGGATTTTGTCTCTCCTCCAAGGTTTGTTGCAGGGTTTCATTTGAATGCACAGGGATTACATTGAAAATCTAATTTAGTTTCATTGTATAAAAAAATTATAATGCAGGAAAAAGGGGACAATCAAATAAATGTTCTTGCATATATATATATAAATGAATGATTTCTGTGCATTTTTCTGAACTAACTGAGGATTGTGTTACCATTATTATACTAGGGTCATTTTGCTTATTCATTCTGATATTCATCATAAGTATTTGAAACCCAAATGAAATCTTTCAAATTGAATTAAATTCATTCAGACATCCACTTGTAATTTTATTTGAATACATTTTATTGTTTCTCTGAGACACTGATATGATGCCTGGTGGGAGTAGAAAGACATGATAAAAAGTTTTCCTTTTTGTGGGTGAACTGAAAAAACATGATCAGTACATGATTATTAGCATTCCACAGTATACTATATAGCAGACATTGTGTCTCAAAACTTAGTGAGCCGCCTAACTAAGCATCACCTTTGTAGCATGCTCACTAGTTTTTGAGACACGCTCCCAAGTGCCCTTGAATAAACTCACAGTAGGGTCTTTCTCCACCACCAGCACTCTCAGACTATCCCTCACTCGCTCCTTCCTCTTCAGCCAGTATGCGATGGACCATCCTATGACTCCCCCTCCCACAATCACCACATCAGCCCTCTCCGGAGGCAGGCCAGGGGTCAACTCAATCGGGCTCCAGTCACAGCCAGGCATCGCTGTGGCCGCTTTGTCCCGAAACACCCGGAGCTGAGCGTCCAGATCTGTAACGAGTTACATATGACAGATGGGAGTATATGTTTTATTGGCAGGAGCCAGTTTTATAATTACCCACATTTTCTTGAAACCATATTGTGTTTGTAATTTTGTTAGATAAGGAGTTTTATTATTAATGCAATGCTGGTTTGTGGTAAATTTCTCATTCATACATCTAAATATAGGAAGAAAACACTTATTTTATTTGGTAATTATATTCTACCCCTAAAAAGCAAAAAAAAAAAAAAAATAAATGTACTAAATGTAATAAAAGTGAATACAAATTATCATTTTTATTCATCTATTGTAACTATAAATATTATAAATATATTTAGCTTTGATTACAATTTTGAACTAGTCTGAATTACTATTATACATGTATAATATTTGTTATGCAGGATGCGAATTTACAAATCCTACTATAGCGAAAGCAATACTCAACTGAACTCATGAATATTACTTAGTTCGACCAGTGCAGCTCACTGATTTGCTGAAAGGCAAGCGGTCGTTACGCAGTTGGCGAATGAACGAACAGTTACTGCAAGAAAGGCTTCGCTCATTAATATTGATTACATTACGTGCCAGCGCTCCAAGGAAGTTTACAACTCAACGCCAGTATGACTAAATTAATATTAATAAGCTAACCATTTTATCATAGTAGGATTAGAAATACAAGAATATTGGGATGGCACTCATGACTACAGTACTGGACGTTTAACGCCTCTCATATTAATATAAAAGTACGGATGCATAAATTATTTTAAGTGACTCATCTCACCTTTAAAGAAGTCCTTTTCATCTCACCTGCTGCTGCTTTTAAAGCTCCGACAAGGAGCTACCAGGGCTCTGAAAGCAGGGACGGAGGTGAACAGCTTGTGCCACATTGCTATTGTCGGCAGACAGTCATGTAGTCGTAACAGGACACTCCAATCACCTTTCTCAGTGACACGCCGCTCAATAAGTCGAGCGTAAACTCATTTGACCAAGTGCGCATGCCATGCTCACAATGACGCCACACCAAGACCAGCCCACAGCTGTAGTTTCATTAGTGGCATCGTGTACACAAGATTGTAATAATTTTCACTTGGAAAATCAGTGTAATATGCATTTTAATTATTATAACGTAAGTACGTACGTAAATAAATAAATAAATAGGGGAAATCTCTCTAACATCTAAACTGCTTGTTCGTTGACACTGCTGAGAGATAAGTACAGAATAAAATTACTTTTTTAAATTTATGTATGGAAAAAAATACGTTCTTTTTCAGTTCATTAAAATGGGCAGCTTGATTTTTGGACTAACAAGTCGAGGTCTCTTGAGGATCTAGATCAGGGCTGTCCAAACTCGGTCCTGGAGGGCCGGTGTCCTGAAGAGTTTAGCTCCAACCCTAATTAAACACACCTGAACCAGCTAATCAAGCTCTTACTAGGCATAGAAACTTCCAGTCAGGTGTGTTGAGGCAAATTGGAGCTAAACTCTGCAGGACACCGGCCCTCCAGGACCGAGTTTGGACAGCCCTGATCTAGATCTTAGTGGGCCTGGTCTTGACTCCAACTTCGGCATGCATGTGATTTTAATGATTAAAAATAAAGACAGTGATCAATTGAATCCCAGTCACTCCTTTATTCACCCATTAAAGACAAATCAAACAGTTATCCGGCCAGCTGATTGCAGAAATGACTTATGAACATTATTCTCACCTTTTCAGGTGATAATTTGACACCTTCTGGCCCCAGTAAACATCACATTTCACAATCAAATTTAAAAAACAGACCAAGAAAACAAAGGTAAGAAAAGAAAATCTCTTTCAGCAATTACAACAAAAGTATAAAAAATCTTCATGCTTTCTCCTCAGATCATGGGATGGGGCCCGCAGATGTTCAGTGCTGTGTGTTCAGAAGAGGGGGGTGGGATTTTGAGTTTCTGGGTTTTACGTTCTTGAGAGGCCACGGTTGTCAAGGTCTTTGACCTGTGGAGGTAAAGCAGGAGATCATCAGTGGAAGTTCAGATGGTTTAGAAGGACAGTAACGGTTAAAGATGCACAGGTGAGTTAAGATGTACCTTGTATATCCTGACGAGCCAGTGCTCTGTAGTATATGCTTCCTCCAGCACATCCAGCTCAAAGTCCTTGTTGCCAATCTCAGCATTACGAACTCTGTCGTAACCAGGAGGACGCTCTGGAAAAGTAAAAAAAAAAAGTAAATGCAGAGTTTAATTCTAGCCATCACTAATTTCTTAAAGGGTTAGTTCACCCAAAAATGAAAATTAGCTTGTGTTTTACTCACCCTCAAAGCTTCCTAAGGTGTATATGACTTTCTTCTTTCAGACAAAATATCTATATTTCAAACGTAATAAACACTTTTCTCTTACTTCTACTGACTGTCGTACGTGGAAGCCGTTCCGGCGGATGACGCAGCACGTATGCGCAGCGCACGCGCCTCTGAGATATGCTAGTCTCGCGAGTATGTTTATAGGGGCAAAGGAAGCAAAGTCTCCTCTTGGTTTATATCGAAATCCTCCCGACATTTTTCTTTACAAATCCTCGGTTTGTACTTCTAATTCATGACCGGCATTTTGTTTTGTTCTCTCTCCGCGTTCGTCACTTATCACGCAACGCCGACGTAATACTTTGAAATATGGATATTTTTCTTATGAAAACGCATGGATTCGCTACTGGAGGCCTTTATTCACCCCCCGGAGCCGTGTCAGGCACGTTTTATTATGGATGCGCGAGCTTTATTTGACGTCTTGTGGACTGTTCAACAGTTCACAATTTTTAATATAACTCCAACTGGATTCGTCTGAAAGAAGAAAGTCATATACACCTAGGATGCCTCGAGGGTGAGTAAAACACAGGCTAATTTTCATTTTTGGGTGAACTAACCCTTTAAGATTTGTCAACTTTTGTCAAAGTCAACATGAAACAGCATTTGCAACTCATTTTACTTTCATAATGTCAGTTATTTATGAAAATAATAATAAAATATTCACTAAAAATATTCAATAATATTCAATAAAATAATACTAATTAATGGTGTTGTTATTGTGACCCCTCACGGTCCACGCGGAACTCTCCGGTCGGCGTGTAGTAGTCATGTTCCTTTATGTGCCTCCCTGTGTCCGTGCTGCCCCCGATACGGACCATCCACAGGAACTTATTAATGTCTACACAAATACATAAACATACTAATTATTACATGTTATTTAGGTTTAATCCAATCCCGATACTACAATTCAAACAATAAGAACCACAAAGCCGTTTCCGTGGGTCAAAATGAATCCGAGCCCGTACCATCAGATGAATATCCTGTCAGTCCACCAAAGATCACCAGGACGTAACTAACATCCAGTTCTCGCATAATCTCATAGGCTTTCTCCTCAGTGGAGGCCATAGCCTGCAAAGAAGAATTTTTTTTAAATAAATGTCCAAAGTATAAAAACTGTAAACCGTAAAACTATATTTCTGTAGTTTAAACTATAGAAAACAACATCCTCACCTGACCCACTCTGGAGATGTGAGTGTTATTCCAAGTGTTGTTGTCAACCAGAATCGTTCGATTGGCCATCGCTGTTATTTGATACCCATAATCCCACCACGACATGACTTTAGCATCCTGTACACACACAAACGCAATATGAGATGAGCAAAAATTTTTGGAATCAAAAGAAGCAGGACGTTTATGAGGGTCAACAGCATGACGGATCTCACTGACCTCTGGTGTGTTGTGTCTGAGCCAGTAATATGCCTCTCTGAAGTCATCGAAGATGATGCGGCTGCCATCACCACCACGGGCGGAGAGCACAATAGACGGGGAGGAGTACGCCTCGCTGGTCACCCAGGTGGAGTGGAAGGTGTATGTGATGAGGAAAAACGCCATGACCAGAATCATCCCACTTGCCACCTACGGACCAATCAGAGCAGAGCATCACTGAGTGAACCAATCACGTAAGGAAAGCTAAGAAAGATCAAGAGCATTGATCGTACCTCATTTTTGATTGGGTAAGTGGAGTCCTGCTGCTTTTTGGACTTCTTGTCCGGTCGGCTGACATCCAGGTTCTTCATGTAGGTGGTGAGGACCTGAGAAACGCCGATGCCTGACAGGATGCACATGACGGGAGCCAAGACTAACATGAGACGCACCTGAGCAGAACAGATAAAACTAGGGTCAGAGCTTCCTTTGTTAAAAGAAATGCTAATAAACTGACTTCAAATCTTGGCTAATATAAAGTAAAAGTGTTTTACCATCACAGCTGAGAAGTACATGCTGGTGACGCCATACATGATGATGAAAATCGTGGCATCGGAGAGGTTGTTAAAGCAGTAATAAAGGCCAACTGGAGAAACAAGAGATTACAGATTTAACACATCAGATGCAGATTATTTTAGCATTATTTATATACTATTATAGTATTTATTAATATTTTGAATTTACTTTATTTTTATATTTTCAGTTTTCAATTTAATTTTAGTTTAAGTTTTAGCGATTTTGTTATATGCTTGTCATGTTAATTCGTTTTTAGGTTTTTAGCTTGGATTTTTTTTTTTTTTCAGTTTTAGTAATTTTAGTACTTCAACGTAAACTTATTGTATTTCATTTAGTTTCCAAGTTGATATTTCTCATTTTCATTTATCTAATATTTTTTATATTTGCTTCATTTCAATTAACAAAAACTATTTTTAATGGAGCTTTTTCCACAGACTGTGATGATGCTTTTCCACAAGTTATCAACGTTGTAAATCTAGCAACATTTTTTTATATTTTAACGTTTTTTAATTTTATAACACTATACTTTGTGCTTTCTTACCTTAGCATTAAATGTCTGTCTGACAGACATTTTTAGCTGGATAAAGGACCATCACCTTCAACTCAACCTTGCTGAGACAAAACTGCTCGTTGTCTACCCAGGACTTCATCACAACTTCTCTATACAGCTAGGCTTGTCAACAATACCTCCTTCTAGGACAGCAAGGAACCTTGGAGTTGTGCTTGATGATCACGTATTGCTTCACAGACCATATTGCTATAACGGCCCGGTCCTGCAGATTTGCCTTATAAAACATTAGGAAGATTAGACCCTTCCTATCAAAGCAGGCCATACAACTCCTTGTTCAAGCTCTTGTTCTCTCCAGACTGGACTATTGTAATGCTCTCTTGGTGGGCCTTCCGGCATGTACTATCAAGCCTCTGCAACTGGTCCAGAACGCAGCAGTGAGAGTGATAGCTGCCAATCAAATTCAAGGTACTGATGTTTGCCTACAAGACAACCTCTGGCTCTTCACCAATATACCTAGACTCACTAGCTCAGACTTATGCGCCCTCCAGAAGCTTGTGTTCTGCAAGTGAATGACGCCTCGTGGTGCCATCCCAAAGAGGCACAAAATCACTCTCACAGACCTTTTCCTGGACTGTTCCCAGCTAGTGGAATGACCTGCCTATCCCAATTTGAGCAGCTGAGACTTTAGCCATTTTCAAAAAACTTCTAAAGACACATCTTTTTCGTCAGCACCCGACCAATTAATACTAGCCCATACATATTCTATTCTATTAATTTTTTTCTAATTTATTTAATTTAAAAAAAGCATGAAGGGTGAATAAACCTTGCTATGTGTACGGAGTACGGAGACTTGTTACAGTACTTGTATACTGTTGCCCTCTTGTTTGGTCTGATTGCTTCTATTGTAAGTCATAATTTGTAAGTCGCTTTGGATAAAAGCGTCTGCTAAATGATTAAATGTAAATATAAATAATCTAAAACTAGTTCATGCTGCTGCATGACTGTTTCTAATACAAAGGTCGAGGAACTGACAGCAAATCTGACATCTTTCACTCTTTTGAATAATGTAATCAATCTCTCGATATTTTTTTCCTCTTTTAGAAAGTCACAGAAACGTTATTGTAATTTTTTCTTTTGCTATTAGGGCAAAAGGGAACACAAAAAATCTATATGTAGTTTCCCTTCACCACTATAGAAATGTATCCTAGTATGATGACTTTCGCTTCGGAGAGCCTCAGAAATGTGAAAAGACTCCACAGTTTTAGATTTAGTTAACAATAACAACATCGATCTGATGGTTTAAAGAAAAAAACGAGCACAGGAAGGTGCTGTACCTGGAAACATGAAGACCAGAAGCTGCAGGTCAAAGTAGTAGGAGGACCAGGTGGTGGGCTGGTGCTCAGACACAGAGGCGATGATGGGGATGTTGTTCTTGGCGTACGATGGATCCAGCAGAGAGTAAAAACGGCCAGTCCAAGGTGAGATTTTCCCTAGCATAAGCCAATACAAAAACAAACTATTTAGAAATAATAAAAAAAATAATATTTAAATTAGCACATACACAGTGCAACAGTGAAAAGGGACCCCTTTCAAACAGTGTCGCGTTCCGAACGTTGTTTAAGCGACATACACCGGTATTGCGGTATTTTAAAAATGAATATCATAACAAAAATAAACACCGGTATTCGGTATGAACCGGTATACCACCCAGCACTAATTTAAATGTCCAGAAATAAATACTTACAAATATATTTATAATAAAAATAAATAAATATTTGAATGGGAGCGTCTCTTCTAACCTGTCAGCATGAGCACTGCACCTGCAGAGAGCAGGATGATACCGACCAGCGAAATGACACTTTTGAACAACACTTCAAACTGCTGCGTGTTCAATTTGCTCCGGAGGTAATCGACAAAGGCGTGAATCTGACACAGGCCAAACACCCCGAATGCAGCCATGTGTTCGGAGGACTGGACAGGCTAGAGGAAAAGGGAGAAAGAGAGAGATTATTGATCTAGTTTTAAGATTATATTATAGTAATTTCTCATATTTGATAGGTGATGTTCAGCTCACCTGGAATCCAACAAAAGAGATCTGCATGGAGAGGATGGTGCCCAGGCAGTAGACTGTGCAGTACGCCACATAGATGCGATGAGAGAAACGGCCGGTAAGCATCAACACCAGCACGTGCAGGGGAATGAGGTTAATCAGAAACACGTAACCACCCCAGGAGGACACCTGACGCCAACACACAAAGTTATTGTGTTATTGAAATAATGTATTTTGTGTATTTAAGTAACAATGTATTGATTTGCTCTGAAACAATCCCAATTCAAAGAGACAATGTGTCTCAAATGTGGCTCACCATGTAAAAATATGCCAGCGCGCACATGGACGACCAATAAATGGAGCCTGTCTTCACTGCTTTGATCCACATGTAGTACGTCAACAGCATGCAGAAAATGGCGATTCCTTTAGATCATACAAAAACTATTTAATTTACATTCATATATTATATGTATTCATTGTATATTATTAATGTAAATTTTCAATATATATTAACAATTTCAATTTTACAGGATATTTGAAAACACAATGACATACAAGAAACAAACTATATTATAAATATATTTATCCACACTACTATTCAAATGTTTTGGGCAAGTAAGATTTTTTTTTTTAAAGAACTCTCTTATACTCACCTAGGCGTCATTTAATTAAACAAAAACAATAATATTGTGAAATATAATTTTTTACAATTTTATAACTCAACAAACTTTCTTATTATTATCTTATGATGAAATATGGTTAATATTTTTGTGAAAAAAGTTGAGAATTTTTTTACAGAATTTTTTGATTAATGGAAACTGTCACTTTTGAGCAATTGAATGTGTCCTTGCTGAATAAAGTATTAATTTCTTGCCAAAAGAAAAAAAAAAATCTTACTGACACCAAACTTTTGAACAGTAGTGTATGTGTTTCAATTTGATATTTGACAAATTCTAAAACCTTTCCTATTGAGGCCTTTTTGAAAGCATTTGAATAAACCTTTACCATATCGATCAATTAGAGAAACTGAACACATATCTCTGAGACAAGATAGTACCTTCATTGTCATAAGAGCCTGCCACAGAACGTGAGATGTATCCCGGGACGACAGCGATCATGGCGGCAGCCAGAAGCCCTGCACCCGCATCCTGCAACATAAAGTGTTACTTCAGTTAGGAGAATTAGCTAGACAAATAATGTGCAGGTGGGTGTGATGGACGTGTGCTGAAGTTCATCTCACCTTGAGCTCTTTTGTGAAGTGGTAGGTGACGATAGCGGTGAAGGAGGAGAAGAGAGGGGCGAGGAACACACACACATTGCGGATGTCGATGGTGATGTGGAAGAAGTGTAGAACGTGATACAAAGCCGCAGATGTGATCATCAACCCTGTAGGAAAAAACGAAACAACACACCGTTGCTATGCAGATGTAGCACTGTTTAAAGTGGTTTTAGCCTGTTGTTATAAGGTTGCTAGTCAAAACAGTCCCTAAATATGGTTTATATATAGATCACCGCCAGTTTTATCGTCCATCAGATGAAAAAGTCCAATCACTTAGAAAAGTTAATCACTTAGAAAACTAATGATACAACACAATTTGCCTGTGCAGGTCAAAGTTTAATACTAATGGTTAAGGGTTTGTTTAACATTTAAAAAAAATAAGGAAGTGACATCACCATTGCCATCAAGATTAGTAATGTGGCTTCATCAAAGAAACAGTTGAATGGTTCAGAAATGGTTCTAAACAAATATGTTGCTGGATTTTGATGTGAGAGTACAACAGGGGATACACTTTTTCACAGGAGGCGGCATGTTATGGCCAGAACCAACAGTTTAAAGTTAAAATGTCTTATTGAAGAATTTGTTTCCTACAAACATGCTGCTTTTCACTTCTCAATATGTTAATTGATGGACTGGAGTCGTGTGGATTACTTGTGGATTATTGTGATGATTTTATCAGCCATTTGGACGGCACCCATTCACTGCAGAAGATTCACTGGTGAGCAAGTGACGCAATTAGTGGTCGACCGATATTGTTTTTTTTATAGCCGATGCCGATATCTTGGAAAGCAGGGTGGCCGATGGCCGTTATAAAGCCGATTAAAATTTTATTTATTTAAATTAATATTTAAGAAATTTGAAATCATTTGAAAATGGATTCAAAAAGGGGGGTCGTCTTATAATCAGGGTCGTCTTATATTCGGGCCAATACGGTAATATATCGTATCGGCCCCCAAAAACCCATATCGGTCGGGCTCTAGTTTAAAGCATTCAATTTGCACGGACTGAAAGTCACGCAGAAAACACAAATACTTTTGTATACATTTTAATTCCTTTGTTTAACAGTTCTATCGTATTATTAGACAGATTTCTGTCTGTATTAGACGGAACTGTTAACGACGATGGCGAACAAGAGGGAGAATGTGAGCACTGTGTGCTCAGGCGCTGCCGCTCTCAGCGCCATCAAAATAAAAGTCCGGCACGCCGTCAAAATAAAAGTGCCGCCTCTAACGCATCGGCCAAACAGAAAAACTTGTCGGCCGATGCGATATTTGAAAAATGCCAAATATCGGCCGATATATCGGTCAACGACTAGATGCAATGCTAAACTTCTCCAAATCTGTTCCGATTAAGAGACAAACTCATCTATATATTGGATGCATATTTTTATTTTTGGGTGAACTATTCCTTTAACAATCTTTTCCAAGACAACATTCCATTAAATGCAATGACCTTGTTGCAGCACGAGTAAAGCATTCTGGGGTTTTGTACTTGGCGTCAGGCCACAAGTGGCTGAAAAAACACATTCTTATACTGCTATAAATTTTGAAATTAGTGTCATTAAGCTGTACCGGGATAGATGGTGCCTCCTATAATCCTCCCAAGTGGATACCAAGCCCGATCATCAAACCAGTTATGGAATTTGTAAAAGCCCTCTTCTGCCAAGAAGCGAGTGGTCCGGTAATTGAAATAACTGCCAACAAGAAACAGCTCATTTAAACAGGTGTTCGGATGCTGGTGCACTGCAATAATGACCCAAAATCTGCACTTACGGATCGAACTCATGGATGACACTCTCGAACCGAAGCACAGAGAACAGTCTGGTGGAGAACGCTGGAGGAAAATGACAAGACAGACAGCTTTAGAGGACAGCTGACATACAGGAGTCCGATACAAAGGGACGTGTATCCACTCACACAGGACGGCTGCCATAGACAGGATGAGCAGTTTCAGCAGGGTGTCCTGTTTCTCATAGGACAGACGCAGGAAGCCCAGCTTGGTCATCTTAACACACAGGAGGCAGGACTAACTCTTGATACCTGAAAAAACAGCATGTTAACATAAGCAATGCAACTGTTAATAATAATAATAGTAATACAACTTAAACTATACATACATTTTAGGGGGAAAAAGTGAAATGTTAGAGCAGCGTAGAATAGGGCTCCGTTAATAACAAACTATGTACAAGCAGTAAGCAAATTTTGGCAGATTTAAACTTCTAAATATGATTATGCAATCCTACAATTTATTTTTGCCCTGATTAAAGAGGTTTTTCAAATTGATTAAGCGTCAAATATGAATTGTAGAGGGTAAAGCAGTTGAAGAAATGCATAAATCTGCATATTATGTGATCTGTTAAAGTGTCAAATCTTTATAAAATCAGGAAGAGCCAGTTTGTGCACAATTCCTAAACAAAACCCTAAGTTACTCATTAACACTTCACCACACATGTACAAGAAGATAAATCAATTCAGAGAGTATAAAAGATGCACATAAACAGTGTTTTCTGATGAACTATTCGTGATAAACTAATAAAGTCTTGATTAGCTCCTTAACGTTAGCTGCTAGCTAACATTACACCTATCTCACACCTTTCCAAGCTTTTTTTATTATACGTAAATGTGTTATTTAATGCAAGGGAGTAAATGTAATGACAGCGAACCTGTATAGTTGCAATAAATTAGATTAGAAATTATAAATGTGCAAAATTACCAGTCTTATTCATCGGCGGTTCACTCACTCCAGCCCTACCACACTCTCACATACAACCCTCTCTGCGATCAAGCCCCGCCTATCCACGTAGAGAGGGCGCTAATTGGCTCAGCGTCACGATTTCGAGAGAACAGCTTTCGCTGATTGGTCTTCGAGATGTCATTCAAGCGTGTCAAGACTAGTTCCGCATGGCGCTCCAGATATGACGTGTCCTAAAGGGAGAAAGACAGTCAGCACTGTGGAATCCATGCAGCACTCAACCTTAAAACTTGAACTATCAAATATCATAACATTTATGTTATTTTAATTGTTAAATAAAATTTCCCTTACAAGTTCATAATGTATGACAAGTTACAAGTTCGTATTACAAAAATACAAATATTACATAAATACAATAAAAACCAAGCAAACAAACAAACACAGCAAGTAATATACAATAATTTTTAAATTAACATATGATACAAATATAAAACCTTTTCAGGCAAAATCTTACTAAATAAGTACTTAAGTGAACTAACTTCATAAAAGAACTTTCGACTTGCATTAAAATCGGGACAGTCCAAAAGAATGTTTAATAAAAAGGGGGTCTTGCAGAACATGCATAGAGTTGGGTCTATGCGCGAGTCAGTCTTGTAAAAAAAATTATGAAGTTTTGTACACTTCTAAAGCAAAGTGTTTATTTGGGATAGTTGTCTGTTTTGTCTAACAAAAAGTTATTTGATTTATCTCATGTATTGTGACTAATACATCATTTTCTATACATTAATTAAAAAATGATATACACTGCGGGTCAAAAGTTTGGAATAATTTAGATTTTTTTTTTTATGTTTTTGAAAGTCGTCTCATTATGCTCACCAAGGCTCCATTTATATGATGAAAAATTCAGTAAAAACAGTAATATTGTGAATTACTATTACAATTTAAAATAACTGTTTTCTGTTTTAATATATTTTAAAATGTAAGACATCCACTTGACATGCCAGCATTCATCGGAAACTGGATCCGTGATCATTTAAAGAACAGTTTCACACGTGTCACACAGTTTGCCAGTGCCACCTGACAACAGCAGAGGAATAAAGCTTGTGCATACTGTTGGAAATCATCCCCGGACCATTACAGATGACACTGGATCATGTTGACATGGTATTCCCAAAATAAAAACGCATTATAAAAGAAACCAAATAAAAGCAGCTCCCTTTTAAGTTTTACATTGTTACTTCTAGAATTGCTCAGGGAAAAAAATCCATCATTTACTCACTCTTGTTTTCTGTTTTAATATATTTTAAAATGTAATTAATTTCTGTGATGGCAAAGCTGAATTTCCAGCAGACATTAATCCAGTCTTCAGTGTCACATGATGATCTTTCAGAAATCATTCTAATACGCTGATTTGGTTCTATATATTAAAATACATAATAATAATAATAAACTTTTTTTTTTTAAATCAGTTTGAGTTACAGTAAAATATGACAACATATTTTGTAAAATGCATACTACCTAGTGTTTCCCAAAAAGAACATTTTCAGTGCAGTACAAGTCATTTTGGATAGAAACGTCTGCCAAATACACAAATGTAAATACAAAATAAGACCATTCTGTACAAATACTGTACACAGACCAAATTTATTGAAATAATGTAATACTTTTACAAAATGTCACTCACAAATATCCATCTGTAGGTGTAACACTATGGACTCCTGATGATAATTACAACCCTTTTTAAAATACACACCACCCACCCCCCACGGATACAATGACATAATATGTGCTTCAGTTTCAAATGTTTCAAAACAGGTTCCAGGTACTGAACTCCAGGAACAATCACCACAGTAGACATCCACTTGACATGCCAGCATTCATCGGAAACTGGATCCGTGATCATTTAAAGAACAGTTTCACACGTGTCACACAGTTTGCCAGTGCCACCTGACAACAGCAGAGGAATAAAGCTTGTGCATACTGTTGGAAATCATCCCCGGACCATTACAGATGACACTGGATCATGTTGACATGGTATTCCCAAAATAAAAACGCATTATAAAAGAAACCAAATAAAAGCAGCTCCCTTTT